TAAACCATAAAGACTCGTCCACTTCACTCATCTCCCTCAAATCTCTTGCAAGCGGCCCACCTCCGCATACCTTCAAACCTTCACCAGATAATATTCACTTCCCTCTCTCCTCAAATCCCAATTTCTAACCTAATTTTCTGGGTTTTATTGCACATTAAACCCCTTTTCTAGAAGCTTCCCATATAATCAACTCAGATTCCTTATCTTTGCTTTCCAATTACCCCCTTAAGTTCCTGTTAATTACAAATGAACTACCCTCGAAAGAACAAGCATACTCAACAGACTGAACCATGCTTCAATTCCCAACGGACCAATTAATCTAAAATTATACAATTAGACTAATTATCTTGTAATTGAACTACTAAATCATGCAATTAACTATTACCCTAAGCATATAACTAAATAATTAACGAACTACAAATGCAAAGTTGCAATTAATTAAGAGCTAACCTATTCTGGTTAAAATTAAATCACACAAACAGAAACAATCTCAATTAAATGCCAAAACGCCGACAAACTGGTTTTTAACCAAAACAACAAAACAAAAAAACGAAAATATGATAGAATGAGGCAAAGGTATACCAATCGAAAGAAAGACGACGCTATTGAAGCGATTTTCCATGAGGTTCTGCAGAAAGGATAGAAAGACTGGCTACCGAGACTCCCGTTTGATAGGGAACTTTCAGGCTTGGCGACCGTGTTTGGTTTTTTCTTTTGTCTCAGGAATGGCTGCAATGGCCTTCAGTGCCTGATCAAATTCCTCATCTTCACAAATCATTCCGACAACTGGCCCATTGGTGTGAGTAGGCAGAGGATTATTCATCATATTCGGGGCCTCTTCTTCCATGAGAACTATTGACTTGGCCTCAATGAGGTCTTCCACAGCTCTTTTGAGAGTCCAACAATCTTCAGTGTCATGTCCCATTGCTCTGGAGTGGTATTCACTCTAGCATCAGCTTGGTGTGAGGGGGACTCGGGGTTTGGGCGGTTCGGAGCCACTAGCTGCATCAGACCTAGCCTGACTAGCTTTAGAAACAAACTTGAATACGATTCACCAATAGGGGTGAACCGATTCCTTCTAAGGGGCTCTCTTGGGCGAGGATTGTATTGGGAAATATTTGGTTGGGAAATATATGGAGCTTGATAGGGATGGGCATTTCCGGGAGGTGGAGCTCGGCTTTGTGTATAATGTTGTGGCCGCGTATAAGGTTGCGCATTCATCACCGTATAGGAGACGGTGCCACGGCATAAGTAGCATCTTGATGGGGATAATAGTGTTGTGGGACCTTAGGAAGCATATATGATTGGTTGAATGCCCTATAGAACCCCTTCGAGCTCAAAGCCATCATGACTCCCTCTACTCTCCCGTTTCTGTTCATTAAACCCCCGAACCATTCTGAACGGCCTGTGATGCATCCTTAATAGCAGCTTGACTCAAGATTAGGCCCGTTTTCAAACTATTTTTTACCATCTCCCCAATTTTGATAGCCTCAGCGAACGGTCTACCCATAGCAGACATCATGTTCTGGAAGTAGTTCGCTTCTTAGGCCTGGAGAACGACCGTAACCATTTCAGCTTCGTCCATTGGAGGCTTTACCCTGGCAGCTTGCTCGCGCCATTTGACAGCATATTCACGGAAGCTTTCTGTTGTTTTCTTTTTCAAATTGGATAAAGAGTTTCTGTCGGGAGCAATGTCCATATTATACTAGAACTGGCGGACAAAATCTCGAGCCAAATCGTCCCACACGTGCCAATGAGTAATTTCTTGATCGATGTACCACTTGGAAGCAATTCCGGTGAAACTTTCTCCAAAATAGGTCATTAATAGCTCCTTTTTTCCACCAGCGCCCCTCAGCTAGTTACAGTATCGTTTCAGGTAGCGATCGGGTCTCCGTGCCCGTCGTACTTTTCAAATTTTGGCATCTTGAAGCCAACTAGCAAGTGGACAAGGGGAAACATACACAGGTCGGAGTATGAGACGCTCTTTTGGCCGCTCAAGCCCTGCATGTTTTTCAGGCTTTGTTCCGGGATTTTCATCTTCCGAGCCATTTCCTCTTGCTCGGGATTCTTGACAATCTTTTCTTGCTCCACCGGGAAGTCACATTGCGGAGGTTGATTAAATGGGTACGGGGTCACATATATTATTTCTGGTTGAAACTGTGGACCAGGAAAGGTGAACGTTGGAGGCTCAACATGTGGCCGTGGTATAGTTGGTTGTATGGCGGTGTAGACTGGTGCTACAGAGAACATTGCTGGCGGTGTCCTTGAATCTGGCGCCTAGGGGTGAACCACAGAAGGCATGCCAGGACCATTTGACGACATTAGAGGGTATCCACATGGGATGATCAGATTGGGCACAGGGACGTTGGTAGCCCCACATGGCCAGGGATCAACTCGGGGAACCCAGGTATTGCATTCGGTGATTCCCTACCATTAGATCAGGCGTCCCACATTTCAAACATGCGGAGACGCAACATCCTATTTTCTTCAGCAGCTACTGATTCTAGCTATGGCATAGCCGATGCCGGACTATCCTCAGAGTTGATAATTGGTAGAATGCTTTCGGAGGCCATAGGAACCTTGCCTTTAGATCATGTGAAGTATGTATGAGAAGCCATATTACCAACAAAACCAACAACCTGAACAAAACCTGGCTAATTTGCACACCCAACAACCTTGTTAGTCTTGAGGCATTTAACATATAGGAAATTGCAAGTTGGGATGCAATGCACCTAACAGCTAAACGTTTCTATCATGTGTTTGAACGGTTGCATATTTCATCCCGGCCTTAAACTAACCGTTTTTCACTCTGTACCTCTTTTCTTTCATTTCTACCTTTCTTTAATCACTCTTGATTTTCTCATTTTGTTTATGTCGCTCTTTTATTTTTGGCTCTCTCTTTTCTTTTTTTGTTTTTGTCACTCTTTTATTTTTTGTCGCTTTTTTTTTTCTTTTTATTTTTGTCACTCTTTTCTTTCTTTTTCACTCAATTAATTTTATGGCTATGATTGAATCTGATAGGGATTGCCTACGTATCATGACGCTGCATGAATCAGATCATTACGTAGTTCAGGAATACCAGAAACAGAGTAAATAAACTAACTCTTTTTTTTTCTTTGTTTACTTTTTATAAAACTCAGACCATGAAAGCTTTTAGAAAAAGAAAAATATTTATTTTTTGGAATTTTCGAAAGAAATGCTTTTAAAGAAGAAAGAAAATATTTTGCATTTATGGTTTTGATTTTTTTTTTTTTTGAAATGTTTGAAAGAAAGACTTCTAAAGAAGAAAGAAAATATTTTTTGGATTTTTTATTTATTTTTTTGGAATTTTTGGGAAAAAGACTCCTAAAAAAGGTACAAAATATTTGTTTGAATTTTGATTTGATTTGTTTTCTTTTTTCAAATTAAAGACTTCTACAAGAAAATATTTTTCAGTTTAAAACTTTTTTTCTTATTATTTTTTTTATTTGTTTGGGATTTTCTAGAAAAGACTCCTAAAGAAGGAATTAAAGGAAAATATTTTTGGATTTTTAAAAATTGGGGCCGGAACCGATGAGGTTTGCCTACGTATCTCACATCCGGTGAGAATTAGACCCGCGTAGTTCGGTCAGTTTTGACGGAACAGGGAAAACATGGCACTTGAGATTTTTGGCTCATTTTGAAATGACCTTTTCCTTTCTTTTTTTCTTTCCTTTCTTTTTTAAATTTCAGAAGAGTTTCAGGATTTTCAAATATCTGGGTTTTTCATAACCGGATAAATTTTCTCACTCCTACCTCACTTTACTTTTCTCCATTTTCTGTATTTATTCTAGCAGTCAGTCAACATGCAAATCAGATCAAACAAAATGCACAAGTAGCACGTAGGATGCATTAGGATGGTCTTTTATTTTTGGGTACATCAGTCCTAGACGGACCCAACACCTATGTTGAATCATCCCAAGTCAAATGCACGTGATGCAAACAAACGTTCCTAATAGGGATCCGGCATGAGGCTATGTTATTCTATGTTTTAAAATCCTGAGGGTGTGTTTTAGACATGGCTTACCCAAGCGGACAGCTCGAGCCAAGGTGGGGGCAATGTACCGGGAGCACGATAGTCTACCCGGCCTAGTTGCTGATCAAACCTTGTTCTATTTGGTACGACCTCTAACAGAAAGGTAGGCGACGCGTACGTGTGTACTATAATTTTAGAAGACTCGGAAGGGAGGCGTAAGAAGACAATTTAGTACATTTCAAAAAATATCAAAGCGGTAAATGAGCGGCACTTTGCGCGTTATGCCAAAAAACACAGTGTCAACACTAAACAAAGCCAAATACATATTACATTACAAGCTCGAATTCTGAACCCTGAACCAGAGATTCTGGGTTCGTTCCCCAGCGGAGTCGCCAGAGCTGTCACACCTTTTTTTTCTTGAGAGAATAGGGAGTTTTTCCAATTAAAGTAATATTATTCGAAATGGGATTATTTATTTAATTTCAGAGTCGCCACTTGGGATAATTTACGGTGTCCCAAGTCACCGGTTTATTTTAAAAATCCCAAATCGAAGAAATTTGACTTTGTTTAAAGTCTGCGAAAATCAGAAGACCGGGTAAGGAATTCTGTTAACCCGGGAGAAGGTGTTATGCATTCCCGGATTCCATGATTTTAGCACGATTGCTTTAATCATACATGTCTTAATTAAATTGTTTAATTACGTATTTTTAGAACTTATGTGCATTTTATCTTTTACCGCTTTAAATTATGGTGCTATGGATTTATCTTTGAAACGGATTATATGTGTGTAAATCCGTTTTATTTGGGGCGTTAAAATCGTGTCACGCGTACGTATACACAATTAATCGCGCTTTATTAACACTAAGATTGTTCAGCCAAAGTTGCGCGAACGCGTACTTTGATTTTATTTTGGGAATCATAATTATGTAACGCGAACGTGTACACAATCACGATAATAAATTAAACGCACGCCTAAAGCATACTAGGAATATTCAAAAGTTGTTTAATGTTCCTACGGTTTAGGACTAAATGATCGTGGAAAGAATTTACATCCACGCTATCCCATTAACTCACTTAAGTTTCTTCAGATGCTGGCTCCCTTTTCCTGCCTTTCTACTGTCATGTTTTTTGGTGTAATAATTACAAATTTGTAACTGCAACTACTCCTCTAATTTTAGTCACATAACCTTGATCACGGCACATACAAGTACTAACTTGTATCCAGTATATGAATTCAAAAACACTCGAGTTAGAATTCTCATGGTACCATCTCATTCAGAGCTATAACAAGCTGTCGCTAAAGAACCAGATAAAAGTGAAATTTTCTAGAAGACCACCAATATAGTGCAATATATACAAAATCAAATGTATGGATACAAATCTTCACATGCTATGGAATGCTGAAGAAAGATGAGGTTATAAATGAACTTCTGGTGACATACAACATATAGAAAATGAATATCACCTCTGCAGTTTACCTTAAAAGTTCAATCAATGCATGCCACTCAAGTGTAACTTAATGTTCAAAAAATAACAATGAAATATAAAGAAAAAGATAGATGGGACAAGAATAGACAGAGAACATCTACAGAGTGCCAGTTCACATCATAATTAAAAAAGCAGCAATATTCACATATCCTAGGGGAAAAAAAAAACATTAGAACAACTTAAAGATATACTCATCTAAAGAAACTAATTTTAAGCTTCCATTACACATTTTCCATAGAAGACACAGATCATGTTTAATCGAATCATTAGATAAGGAAATCAGTATCAGAAATTACAGAGAGAATTCACGGTTTCACAATCCACTTAAATTCATTTTCAAGTAATACAGCAAATAGGACTGCAAATAAGTGCATATCGCCATTTTTAGCTCAAACATTCAACAAATCGGGCCGTGAAAATAATATTTTTGCATTCAAAGAGAAATATGAATACATGAGTAGTCAGAACTTACTTATTGAAAGCAAGGGAACAGTACAAAGTACCAAATAAAGGCCATAAATGAGTCGGAATGGGCTTCAGCAGAGAAGAGCAACAGAATCAGCAAACGAACAACAAATTTACAACTCAAACAACCTTCGAAACCCGGAAACGATCAAGCCATGTAGCGGAGATTTGAACAGCCTTTTAATCTTCTTTTTTTCCGATTTTTTATCTCTTCTTTTGAAGTTTTCTAGATCTTAAATTTTGATGTGCAGGCTTCTTCTCTCAGCAATTCAGGCGTGTGTGTGATTGAGTGTGTGTGCATGAGGTGCGGACGAGAGAGTAGGTATGAGGAGTGTAGGCAGATTAGAGGGAAATGGAGAAGAAGAGGGTGGCGGCTAGGGAAATGGAGAAGGAAGCATACATTTTCTCAAAATAAATTTGAGTTTTATTTGTTATAGATTTTACTTATATTTTGACAAAATTCCAAATATCAAATCTCAATAGCTGTTTTTGGGCCAATATTATATTTTTTCAATTACCCCAAACTTTTGTATTTTATAAAAGAGCCTACAATTTATTATTTTGTAATAATGTTGTTTCGTCTTTTCGGTCACCTGATAGTGTATCATGTAATTTATTATAAAAATAATAATTTTGTATCAAATTTATTTATATTTAGGACTATGGTTTGCGATAATATAATGAATGTTATTGATAATGATATTGTTGGTTATTTGTGATAGTTTTTAGAACTTGTGGCATAAGTCATGTTTCATGTTTTTTCAAAATAAATTTGGGAAATATGTTTTGAAAACTGATGTCCAAACACATTTTCATCTTCAAACCAAACTTACCCAAATCAATTTTTTCATAACAAATTTGGAAGGTATATTAGGAAATTAGAGTAAGGGGAAGTTTGGTCGTTTAAGGGATTTGGGAAAAGAAAACGACGTAGTTTTGGTGTCAAACTACGTCGTTTGGGTAGTGGCATGGGTGGAGCTGGACCAGATTTATGGAGACTGGGCTTGGGCTGATTTTTATGTAGAAATGGCGTGGTATAGTCACTTTTTAAAGTGGTATTTACTTTTTAGTCAGTGTTTTTAATGTTGAGCAAAAATAGTCACTACTCTATTAAAATTGATACGAAAAGTCTTTTTTACCCTTTCTTCATGAGTGATGTGTAAATATTAAGGACATGGTGTCCTTAACTTCATGAGTGATGTGTAAAATATTAAGGACACTATGTCCTTAACATTTACATTGCACACGTGAAGTTAAGGACACCATGTCCTTAACATTTACAATGCACATATGAAGTTAAGGACATGATGTCCTAAAGTTTAACAACAGAAGTTTCAAATACAAGTTAATGATATTATGTCCTTAACATTTACATTGCACATATGAAATTAAGGACATCACGTCCTTAATATTTACATTGTACATATGAAATTAAGGACATCATGTCCTTAATATTTACATTGCACATATGAAGTTAAGGACATGATGTCCTAAAGTTTAACAACAGAAGTTGCAAATACAAGTTAATGATATTATGTCCTTAACATTTACACTGCACACATGAAGTCAAGGACACCATGTCCTTAACATTTACACAACACATATGAAGTTAAGGATACTGTGTCATTAATATTTACACATCACTCATGAAGTTAAGGACACTATGTTCTTAACATTTACATTGCACACATGAAGTTAAGGACACCATGTCATTAACATTTACACTGCACATATGAAGTTAAGGACACCATGTCCTTAATATTTATACAACACTCATGAAGTTAAGGACACTATGTTCTTAACATTTACATTGCACACATGAAGTTAAGGACACCATGTCATTAACATTTACACTGCACATATGAAGTTAAGGACACCATGTCCTTAATATTTATACAACACTCATGAAGTTAAGGACACCATGTCCTTAACATTTACACTATACATATGAAGTTAAGGACATGATGTCCTAAAGTTTAACAATATAAGTTGCAAATACAAGTTAATGATATTATGTTATTAATATTTACATTACACACATGAAGTTAAGGACACCATGTCCTTAACATTTACACTACACATATGAAGTTAAGGATATGATGTCCTAAAGTTTATCAGCAGAAGGTGTAAATATAGGACATTTTGTCCTTAATATTTACACATCACTCATGAAGTTAAGGATATTATATCCTTAACATTTACAATGAACACATGAAGTTAATGACACCACGTCCTTAACATTTATATTGCACATATGAAGTTAAGGACATGATGTCCTAAAGTTTAACAACAGGAGGTGCAAATACAAGTTAAGGACATTATGTCTTTAATATTTACATTGCATACATGAAGTTAAGGACACCATGTCCTTAACATTTACACTATACATATCAAGTTAAGGACATGCTGTCCTAAAATTTAACCACAGAAGTTGTAAATACAAGTTAATGATATTATGTCCTTAACATTTACATTGCACACATGAAGTTAAGGATACCATGTCCTTAACATTTATACTACACATATAAAATTAAGGACATGATGTCCTAAAGTTTACCAGCAGAATGTGTAAATATAGGACACTTTGTCTTTAATATTTACACATCACTCATGAAGTTAAGGATATTATGTCCTTAATATTTACACAACACCTATGTCTAGCACAGGGGTATTTTTGTTCGGCGGGTAAAAATTTATTAAGTACTGGCTAAAGAGTAAATATATTTAAAATAGTGGCTAAAAAGTAAAGACATCTCTAATCAGTGCCTATTTGTGCACTTCCCCCGATTTTTGTGGAGTTTGGGCCATCCTCTGAAGATGGCCCAATTTATTTGGAGCTTTAGCAGGCCTTTCCTTTCTTTAATTTCCCTTGATTTGAAACTTAAACATGCCCACAAATCCTAAATTAAAACCTATTTTTGCACAATTCACCAATTCATCTATTTCCCAATGTTAACCTTAATTAAAAATATAAATCAAACCAAATAATTAATTAACTAATACTAAAAATGACTAATGTATTTTTTGTGATTTTTTTATTTAAATAAAGGCTTTTAATATATGATTAAAATCCTAAAATGTAACTAAAATCATAAAATACACTAAATGAAAGATAATATATTTTTTGATGATTTTTTATGATTTAAAATATTTCTAAATATGTGTGAATAATGCGAACAAATGCAAAAAAAAAAAAAAAAAAAAAAAAAAAATTCATCACCTGAAGTTTGTTCTTCAGATATGCTATCTATTTGAATTAGATANAAAAAAAAAAAAAAAAAAAAAAAAAAAATCACTCCTAAAAGTCTATAAAAGCAATTAAAATTATTTTGGACTATTTATAGGAGTAATTTCCTATGTGGGGCAAAAACTAAGTGCTCACACTAACGAAAGAAAATTATGAATTTAAAACTAAAAGCTAAAAATATAAAAATGACCATTGTCTTTTGTGATTTCCATTTAATAATGCAATTAATATGTGATTAAATCAATAAAATATAATTAAAATCTAAAATGTTATGCTATGATGAATTAAATAATATTATGATATTTTTTATGATTTTAAAATGCTAAATATGCACAAAGATGCAACTAAATGCAAACAAACAATTAAAAGAAATCCCTAAAATGCTATAAAAATTAAAAACAATTAGAAAATTTAATTTTTTGTAGATTTTGTATGAATATTTTCATAAGGCAAAAATTACGTGCTCACAAGCATTAGATATAAATTATATAATGTGGGCTATTTTTGTCATTGGAGAGCTTTTTACGGTATAATAGCAATATTCCCTATATTCGTATTATTAGTAATACAACGTAGTTAACTAAATATCTGACCAAATTTTCCAACAACCAAATATCTTAGTAATGATAGTACTACGTCTGTGTTGACACCGGTATTTTAAAAGGTATTTTCGGAGCGAGTTCCGGGGCGAGAGGGGCAAGGCCTACCAAAAAAGCCCGGGGACGATGGTATGGGGCGAAAGTCTCAAGAGGCCTACACCCAGCAATTCGGGGCGTACGGGGCACATTTTTTTAGTGAGGCGTAAGCCACAAAGATTTTTTAAATTAAAACAAAATTTATTGAATAAGTCCTTCATATAATACCCAAATTCTCAAAATTCAGCTTGGTAATTACTCAAAAGTTTTAAAAAGGAATTGAAATGTATTAAATTTAAAAGTTTTTAATTGATTGAAGCCCCAATTCATATTTTTTCCCAATTTTTTATCTTGTCCGCTAGTCTGCTAATATCTCCTAAAGCAACGAATATTCAATTTTTTTTACAAATATAAAGAAAACTTCATAGCAACAAGTTCAAAGTTCAAATTGCACGTTAGTCATCATTTTTGTTCCTTCATGTAGAAAACTTGATTCTTTTCGACTCAAGTTACTTGAGCTTCTAAGTAGCGTATAATAGATTGTTTTGACTAGTTTTTTNATATATATATATATATATATATAAGGGATTAAGCGCTATCTCACTTGATGGGTCTCATGTCTTCTATAGTTAAGGTGGAAGTTCGAATCACATCAATAGCGTAATATTCCCTTCCTCTCCTCCCCATGTAATAATATATATTTTTTAACTTCTATTAAAACTTTTATTGAAAAATAATTTGAATAAAGATTATCTGGTTGGAGATGTGATTGAGAGTCTTGTGAATTCAATTCCATACCTTTTTCCTATTATGAGTCCTTTTCTATGTTTACTCTTTTTCGAACTTCCTTTTTGGTTTATTCTTATTAGTACTTTTCTCTCTCTCTTTATTTCCCCACAAAAGTAAGCATTGGAAAAGACTTCTTTATCTAGAGCATGTATCTAATCTTGAAAATGACTATCTCCTAAAGTTTATTAACAAAACAAGAAATCGTGTCACGTGATTCTGCACCAGCTATAATCAATTTACTATACTAATTATATTTTGTCTTTTTGTATTTTCTTGTCAAATTTTGAAGCAACCCATGCTTGTATACTTCCATGTTAATTGATTTTCATATCAAATCTTCTTTTCTTTTTCTCTTTGAAGATTCCCTTTATTTTATTTGTTTTCAAATAAGTTGATTTTTTTGGTGGAGGTAAAAATAAAAAAATAAAGTAATTTCCTTTTTCTTCTTCCTTGTTACATTGCATTTCTTGCAGACAAGTTAAGTTCATTAGGAGCACTCGAAATATGTTAAAAATGAAAAAGATTTGAAGTTATTGAAAAAAGTACTAAACTAAAGAAAAAGGAAAAAAAAATACAGGAACTCTTTATTTTACATCAACATATATTCTTTTTTTGACTTGGTTAAAAAAAAAAAAAAACTTTCTTCCGAAGCAAAAATTGGACTTGGTTTCTTCACCAGCAGACAATTAATTCCATGCCAAGATCTTTTTTCTAAGCTAGCGTTTGATCATAAATTTCCA